ATAATAACAAGAACACAAAGTCTAATATTAATTCTCCTGATTCTGCGACTTGATATTAGCCTTACTTATGAAGTAGTTCTCTAACAGATACGGCAAATGATAACAAAGTAGTCCGACCACTTGTTAGTGCTACATTGCACTTAGTACTTGTTCATCTATCACTTCCTTTAAATATAAATAAGTACAAAAACAATTTAGTAACTTAAGGAGTTAGAAATGTAATGCTTTGTTGTTTGTGTACACAGGTATTTTACTCATATATTTTTAGATAACACGTGTTATGAAAATATATGAGACAGTAAGAACGTATAAGTAACTTTAGTAGAAACGTATTCAAGAAACTGCATTGCAAACATTCGTGAAAATTACTCGTATATCTTCATACATATTTTACTCTCATGAATAAATATTGAATATTTTTCGTGTACAAGATACTGTACCATTGTAGTAACTGAATACTAAATTGTATTTGCTATTATTTTGATACTTACTTGATATTGTTTTAACAAGACTATTTGGACCGTCTTAAATATTTGTTTTTAATTTTTACGATACCCTTGTATTTAAATTATAAAAACTACCGTAAGAGTATATCTTTTTTTGCGATTTTAGCATTTTTTTAAATAAAGAATACAACGTTTATCTTTTTTTGCGATTTTAACATTATTTAAAATAAAGTTCTTTACATAGTGTAAAACGAAGTCACTTTGCTTGTACACTTTGTCTTTCAAACTACGCAACGAATAATAATGCAGTTTTCCACCAATAGAGAAAATGATTAAAGAGACGGCTTTATATGTATAAAAAAATTTAATGTCAAGTCGTAAAAACATGTTATTGTGTGCTTACATTGCAAACGCTGGCTAAACCTTACGAGATAGATCAAAACAATGTACTACGGAATTCCATATCTTTAAAAGATCTATAAAAAAATTGCAATGCTATATATCTATCTCTTAAAGATAACCTACAGTAACTATTTTTATCTTTTACAAAATACAAAAAATAATAGGTAATTTACGTAGCTATTTTGCACAATACATTATTATACCTTTTCCAAATAACTACATTGGATACGTTACGTGACGATTTATTTATTTTGATCAAAATTATCTTTTACAGCGTATCATTAAAGTGTTTTACAAAATATCTTAGGAGATATCAGAGTTTTAAAAAGCGGGAGCAAAGCGGCCGTCGCCGTCGCTGCGTCGGGCCGTTAGTCCGTCCCGAGTGACAGCGTCCGGCAGAAGCGGCGCGAGCCAATAATTATTGCCTATGTATTTTAGTATAGTCTTATAATAATAGTGCAATTAATTACTCCACACTGACACCACATTAGTAGTATCTAAAGCCGTGCGCCGAAGCCGTGGCGGAGCGCTAGTATAAAATAAAGGTTAATTAAGAATAAGCTTGTAATTTTATGCGGAATGTCTCCAAAGTAAACTATGAACATATTTCAATTCTCATTGTCTTTAATGAATTGAATTTGAAGCCAAAATATTTAGATGTCAATATTACTTTATTGAAATATGTTGAAATATTGCTAGTTATGAGGTCATTTAGAGCAAAAAAAAGCCTCGGATAAGAGTACTACTTTTAAAACAAATCAATTAAATGTTAACATGCAAATAGCCATTTATCATGTTAATGAGCCCCATATAATTGGTTGGTACAGAAATGTTTTTCAATAAATAGAAATTATCACTTCTTATAATAAACTACCCAGAAGGTCCATATCAAGTATAAGTCCTAATTATATTGTTGGCATTACTTCTTTAGTTCTTTTAAGTATACATGTTTACATGTTAAGTTGGTTTGTGTACGCCTTCAATACACAAAAAGTTCTGAACCCATTGAGCTTTAAAGATGGTTTCTATCTACTTTTTGCAACTACAATATGCCACAGCAAAGCGTAGCAGGGTACAGCTAGTATCTTATCAAAACACTATCTCACTCATAAAAAAAAAACACTACCTTTGTTTTCTAAATATTCACACAAAACATAACTTCACCGCGATACACCCACCCTATTATAAACTAAGCCTTGAATAATGACGGTATAAACATTCCCTCAGTCAGCCCTCGGAAAAACCGCAAATCAATGTCGGTCAGCAGGTCACGTCACTTTAGCAAGAGAACATAGCACTGCGGTTACAAATCAGCAATCTATAGCTATTAGCCTTTTAAAAGCTGCAATCCAAAAGAACAAAACCTATTCTGCGTCCGTATGAGCTGTAGAAAGGGTTACGTTCAGTTTTTATTTACAAGATATGAATCAAAATTAATAAATCTGAGAATAAAATTGAAGGAGTTTGGCAAAATAACCTTTACAATTTTTCATGGGTGTTTTCCTATAATATAATCTACCATATCACCAATTGTGGGGTCCTTTAAAAAACTTGTTTAGCTTTGGAATACTTTTTGTCTAGATTTTTCTAGTAATGGTTCTAATTTTATAACTTTCCATTCTCTGAATTCTTCTTTATCAATTTAGGGTGGGTTGTAAATAGCCATTTTCCCATGATTGTATTTAGCCCATATATTATGTGTACAGCAACTGCAACTCGGAAGAACTTAGGTAAATGTAAACCTGTAAAAATGTAAAATTGAAAATTTGACTTTGAATAATCTCACTTTCAACCCAAATTATTATTGAATTCGTTCCCAATCACCTTTACCAGGATAACCAGAGACAGTGGCAACGAGTTCTAACAGAGTTGATACGGATTCTTATTCGAACGATACTCGAATGCTTTGAAAAAATAATAATAAGATATGTACATTTATATACATAATAAAAATAAAGGAATGTTAGTATATTTACTATTTTTAGGGTTCCGTACCTCAAAAGGTAAAAAAGGAACCCTTATAAGATCACTTTCTTGACCGTCTGTCCGTGTGTAAGTGTGTCATCACCGATTTTCTCAGGAACGAGTAGACCTAGCAAGTTGAAATTTATACCAGATACTGAGGTCTATGGTCCAATATTAGCTGTATAAAAATCATGGTCCTGAGTCAACACGATAAAAATATATGGACAAATTTCGATTTTTGCGAAAACTTGTAAGTACCAAAATTTACCCTAATTTTCTACTTTTTTTATTTTTCAGAATTTATTAATTTTTAGAAGTAAGACCTTGCTTTTAACCAAAATTTACAATTCTAGGTCAACCGGAATTACCCCATAGGTTTTGGGTCGAAAACCAATATGGTAGTTCCCGTTGACCTAGAATCACGAAAAGTTGAAAATTAAGGTAAAAATCTACGTAAAATCTGGGTAGGCACGGAACCCTCTTCGCACGAGTTCGACTCGTACCTGACCGGTTTTTATTTAAATTTACTACGCAGGCGGCCTTAATATTCATAATAAAATTGATTTAGGGCGTAATGCTTTAGTAAAACAATTTCTGGAAATACGTGGGCGTTCACCTACTTAAATGTTCTGACTACCCAGACTGTTTCAAAATGTATGTCATATCATATCAATGTTATGAAATCAATTTTAATACATGCTTTAGTATAAATTTAGCATCTTTTTAACTAAAAAATAGAATTTCCCTTTACCACATTTTCCAGTGATTTACTAATGTATAGTGCCACCACTTGCCTTAGCACTATCCACTAACGTATATGTATATACATGTATATCTCGCAGTTTTTATTTGGTATAATATTGAATGTTATTGTGAAGTAAGCTTTCATACTAACTTAACATATCAAGCTTCCCTAACACAAAAATTTAAAATTTATAATATAATCCTTAGTTCGTTCCGGTAATTAATAGCTTAAATATTCTGACTCTGAACATCTTTTTCTATTAGAATACGTTTATTGAAACTAAATACTTTATCACAAAATTGTTCAAACTGTTTTTATACGTAATTATTAAGGGATAGCTAACCTTAGCTTCGTTAATTGAAAAATAATATCCAATTCGAAATTAGTAAGCTCTCGACATAATCACTTCATTTCTAATTTAATTTCTTTACGTTTTTGAGACCAACTAATTTTTTTAAACTACTACTGTCAACCTGATAGAAAAATAAGGGGAATCTTTCAGAAATAAAGGCCTATATAGTTTTTTTATTTGTCTTGAGGATTAACATAGACATTGATGACATTTAACATTTATGTTATTATTCTTTACTGACGACTCCTAGGCGAGGATCTTCCTGCAGTTACTAGTTTAATCGAATGTGTTAAGAGCATTTTGCCGACCTAAAGTAGAAAAAGGAAGAAAGTAAGCAAACTTCATGACTCATGATGTGACATGATGATATGACAAAGACGCACGAATAATGAATTTACTACACAAACGTTCACAAATAACGTCGAGTTAATGTCCGCAAGATTGCGGAGTTTTTTTTTACTCGGTTTTCGATTAACATATAGGTGATATGGGTTAAGTTCAGACGATTCTTTTGATTGACAACATATGCACTCCTCATCTGAAATGATCTCGTTTAATACGTTTCTAAGGATCCCACAATAGTGTTCCGCTTGAATTTTTAGACAAACTTTTATTATTTTGTTCAAAACTTTCTCTTCATTTTACTGTTTCTATTCGCTTTCAATCAGTCTGCATCCTTAATTGTTCTAGCTATTATTGACATGTTATTAGTTCTGTAAGAGAAAAAGTTGGTTTCGTGATAAATATTTCTAAAATAAGGATTGAGAATTTTGCCTATAGAAAATCTGGCGAATCATCACTATCGGTGAGATTGCACAGGAGCATATAAAAATCAGAAGGCTTTAAGTCATGAATTTATGAACAATAAATTATGACCAACTTTTTTTAGATACTGTACTATTCATAAATTAATATTTATTTTCATGTTAATATCAAAAACCGCAGGCATAATTCATCGCGGACCTCCAGACAATCTCTTACCTGTTGGCTTGGCTTTTCTATAATTTTGTTTCATAATTTATTTGAAATTGCCAAAATTGGTTAGTTTCTAAGCTGAGCGAATATTAATAAGGTTTGTTTTTGTCTACAGTCACGGGGAAGACTTGATCGTGACGCCCTTCGCGCAGGTCCTGGCGAGCCTGCGCAGTGTTCGCAACAACTTCTTGTGTCTCACCAACGTGCCAGTCTCCAAGTAAGTATCTCTTTTATTTTCGTTCACGCTCCTACTTAATGGTGAAGTATGAATAAGTATCTTACAAAGGATACAAGATATGCTATGCACCTGAGACTACAAGATTAATACCTTAGTGGTATATTTTTCAAACATACAAAAATCAATAATCGTAACTTCTTGTTTGCAATGTCCAGGTTTTCTTATGTTGGAATCATAGACGGACATAAGAAGAACGTAATTTATTTAGTAAATAAATTTAAAAATGCCGAATGAGCTTGAACACATTATTACAACAATAAGGAACATTTTGCCGTTTAAATATTTAAAATTATCATAGCATATGACTTAAGTTACTATTTTATTTGAATAAATATATCTTAATTTAAAATTTTTAAAACGAATCAATGGCGTTTTCGAGAAAAGTAATGATGTGATAAGGCTGGAGCTATTCTTAGTTTTCGTACCTATTAAAAGTAAGCTTACATATCACTTATTATATTATTTACTCTTATTTATAAGCATTAAAATTAATCAATCATCATAAACATCGAGAAAATAAATAATGAATAGTTCTCATGAATACTCAAAACTGTCATGACTTAAATAACTCAAACGACACGATAAGTTAATAAAAAATGCCCATATAAACTTGCACCCCTTTTAAGGGTAGTTTTGTATAATTAGCAACGTTTATTATTTCTTTTAAAAAAGAGTATTTACTGTGAGTTTGAAAACGCTATTACCAAAAATAACAAAGTTTCATATAAATTTGCAAACCCCATTTTGGTGGAAGTGCTAAAAATCCTTTCTTATTACACATCTACGTCACTTAAGGAACATTTGTGCAAAATTTCGGTTTCAGCTGTGCGTTGATCGATCAGTCAGTGTATCTGTCAGTTTCTTCCTTTATATGTATATATTGCACCCTCCTTTCTAAGGAGAGGCTTATGTCCAGCAGTGGACTATTAAAGGCTGTTGATGATTGCACCAGTCGGCTCCAGCCACACAGTTATCTTTGACACTCGCTCAATTCATTTATTTTATTCTTGACTGTACTCGTATACATCTCCCAAAATTTCATGCTTCTTTTTCAATTTTTCAGTCAAATAATTTCATATACATTTACTATTTATTTAATGATTAGATTGTAAAAAAATATTCTAAGACATGATTAGACCGTTATAGTTTAAATCGCTTTAGGGATAGACAAATAGCTAACTCACCTTCCATAGACTGAGAAATAAATCTAAACTTAACATACTTCTACTGCTAATCTTAAATACTATTAGACATTATTAAAGACTGTAATTTGTTTTTAATACGTAAAGATATGACAGATATATTTGATAAATAAAATACATTATTCCTTGCATACTTATTGTCATCACATAAACTATCTTTACCCATAATTAACTTAAGTGCATTTTCTTTATTTATATTATTTTAAGGAACACAAACAAGTTACATTATTTTTATTAATCCTATCAATGGATAAAAAAAACTATCTAATATACTTACTGGTATTCCACTTACATCCAAATTGCTTGTATCTCGTTATGTGATATATATTATCAATATACGTAAACCTCTTACGCGCTTTTTATATCGTTTCCTTCGCAAATTTCTCCCGTCCCCTTGTTTTCTTTGCGAAACTGTGTTTACGTTACGCAAACACGTCTCTTGAATCTTCCTTAACCTCATTTTCGAGCTCACTTTTCGTTTATATAGCTATACAGGTTATAAAACTTGTTTTAGATAGAACTTGTTTTATACCTTAACAGGTTTCAGTGTTTTTTTTTATATATATACAATACGGTTACAAACATCATAGCGTATCGGTAATACATAAAGAAAACTAGTCACTATTCCTTAAGGCTAGTCATTTATTCTATAGTACAATTTGCTTGACTAAGTTTTGACAAATGAGTACATAAAATTTTGACACGTTTGTGAAAGGTGCAACAAGTCAAAGTAATAATGGTATAAGGAAAAACTTTAATACCTTAACATGAGTACAACAAGTAACTGTCACTAATACAAAAAAATCGTGCATCATCATCGGCAGGTGAAGTAATGGAAATCAAGCAATGGTTTCGATTAATTTAATGCTTGAGGAAAATAGGTTTGTTGAAAGAAAGCTTGTCTTTCCAGTCCGTAATAATTTGTTAAACTTTGTTTTTGTTTCTAATTTTTCCCACCTTTCAAGATTGACAATAGAGTGGTAAATGATCGGTCGTTTCACCTCTTAAACTGTTTAATAGTGCTGTAACATAAAGCATATTAATACAATTCCGTTTATGTTTCTAATTTTTCCCTCCTTTCAAGATTGACAATATAGTGGTGAATGATAGGTCGATTCTCCTCTTAAACTATTTAATAGTACTGTAACATAAAGCATATTAATAAAATTCTAACACTATTAGTTATCTGACAGTAATTAAAATAATACATTTTATATATGCATATGTAGGTACTGCAATATAATTAAAGTCAGTACCTACGAATTTACATAAACTATTTTATTGTTATGAAGTTTAATGTATAAACAGCTTTAATAGGTAAAGCCACCAACAGTATGACGATTCTACGTAATAAAACAAAATGGGGCTGCCATTACGAAATGTAGCTCGTTATCTTATTGAGAGCGAATCATTTACCATAAAATTAAACATAAAACAGATTACTGGCATTGTATAAAAGCGTAATAATTATATATTAAAAGTTCATAAGTTACAATTTTAACATATTCGCGTATTATATCTTACGTGAATCATGACTTTGTCATAAGCGATAATATTATCTAATGCACGTGAGTAAAATTCAAGGTTTCCCTACATTCATGTGTGAAGATTTTAATGTATGTACAACTGTTCTCAAACAATTTGATGCTTAGTCTATGTGTATTATCAAAAAGTAATCCTTGTTGTAATAATATTTGAGTACATACTTATGCTACCTATTGTAAATTAACTGATAACTGTAGCCTATCGGTGTACTCCATGTATGATTAAAAGCTTGCGATGTAGACGTATTTAGATAGCAGTGATGTGTGGGAAACCACAGTTGTCAATTTTTATATTATTTATACAGGTACACATAACTTTCTTATTTTACCAACAAGGAAATTTCTTCTAGTCGGGATTTATTTTGCTTTATACTAACATTTTTAATAAAAATCAGTTAATAGCAGTAACTTTTCTTACCTTTCAAAAACCAAAAACGTCCATTAAAGTCTAACATTCTAACGCGGAGCTTCACCTGATGAGAACAACACTGCAACCACATCAACTTAGAACATAGAACGTGTGCAATTGAATGGAAATCGTCATAGTATGCATCGTTTTATTTACTCCGATGACGTATAATGACGCGGTCGTGTCGTCGAACTTCGATCACAAACCCGTCAGTACAGACACGCGATACGACATCAGCTGACAGTGTTGTCATATTATGTTTTTTTTTTATTCTAACAGTCAGACTTATTTACTACCTACATACATCAAATATATTAATAAATCATTACTGTGTAGGCAATTAAAAGGTTACGCTTGACGTCAGATATCAAATATCCTTAACCTTTGCAACGAGTAATTTATATAAAAGTAACAGTAACACTTATCGTAAAATGTTACACAATCTCCTTGGTAATATTAAGGTGTGAGCTTCGCCTAAACTAGTTTTAAAACATCATGAAAAGTCAAGGATACGTTGCACGCTTTGGCCCACATAGGTTTCGAAAACACGAACAACATGTAAAACGAGTCATTATGATAATCGAAAACTCAGTTAGCTAAGTATGACAAATTTGCCTTATTATTTATTTGTTTATCGATTTTATAAGATAGTGTATATTATATTGTTCAGTCTTATTGGAATTAACTTTTGTCTTATAAAGAAAACAAAAGAAGCAGAAAGCGTTTTTCTTGTCGTGGTTCGATGACATGTGCGTTATAATTAAATAGTGGCATGAGTCTAATGTCGAATGTGATACCCGAATGGCAATTACAGTCCTAACAAAAACTTAATGATAACTATTTTGGAATATACTACGAGTATAGATATCATAAAACGAGAAAGTTTGAAAGTTAGAACCGTTATAAAATCCATCTGTCGCATATCGGGCCTTGACCTGACCTCACTGGTTATCAAACACGTGTCTTGCCGGACCTTAAAATAGAAACACAAGCAACGTAGACCAAACAAGATTAAATACTTTTTCTAATTATAGAACGATTTATGATTATCTGTTTACGATCTAGTTTATGCACGTGCTGTCAGGAATGACAACTGCTAACAATGAGCGTTTAAAAATAGAATCTTTCGGTTCATCTGGTTTATTTTACAGTTACCATAAAGGTTTAATTTGCTTTTTATTAGTATTTGCCATGGATTGTTTTTGTTTACATTAAATGTTATTGCGACCATAATATGGTAGAAATAGCTTCAAGATCGACCCCATTTTATTTCAAAATTATACGAATTTGAATGTTGTATTCATAGTTTACTGCTCACTTCAGTCCTTCAGACCTTCAGTCATATGAAGAAACCTTGGGCGCTTATACATAAACCTATTTGTACAATGTGGCAGAGTTGTCTGAGAATGATTTATATCAGTTAGACAAAAGGTAGAGAATACAAGTTGAAAGTCCAATAACGGCACAAGCATAGAATATATTATTTATAAATGTAGAAAATAGATCTAAATGCGTGATGATTTACTTCTATCAAATCTGACAACAACTTACATAAATTTGTAAAATATATGTAATTTTTTTGTAAATTACTGTGCAAAACTAACTAAAATAAATATAGATAGACTCATGAACAATATTGTATGGCTAAGACGAAATATATTTTATTAAGTACCAATCGAAAATATTTTCTTAAATTAAATAGATCTTAGATAGAAACTCTACTAAATCTCTCTCTGGGCATTGAAGTGAAAATAAAATTGTGTGTAGTTACTCGATACCTTCGCCACTTCTGAACTGATTTCATTATTTATCTGTTATGGATTGAATTGGCCTCATATTTGGGCCCAGGATATTTTTCAGAAAATATTTTAGGATGAAAAATAAAGTTTATTGTAATTTACCTTTAATTTAATTGCATTGAAATTGCATCATTATTTTGTTGATAATGTTTTTTTTTTTAATTTAAGATTCATTAATTTAGTTAAGGTTCGTAGATGATATTATTATAATATAATTTATAATACAACTTTCCAGACTGATGTCCCTCATTGAACTGTTTGACAAAGAGTTGTTTACCTTTCATAAATAAATTCAGTCAGTCATACCTCACACTTTTCAGAAATCTACACAAATATATACAGCTAATGTTAAATTGTTATCATTTCAGATCTCGAAGATCTTCAGGCGTAGCTACTGCTGTCACTCCGCAGCCGAAAAACCTGAATCCTGGAGGTAAGAATCCCCTGAGAAATTTTATGAGTTATATGTTTTAGTGAAATCTGTATTAGTATTTAATATTTGATCTTGATTGGTGCTCCGATATTTTTATAAATGGCTGTTTCTACTTCTTTTTTCCTAAGCGACTTCAAGAAAGTTGGTAAGATTCAATTGTTCGTTATCTTAATGTTACAAATATATACCGATTTCTCGGAGATTTCAATTAAAATGTGTTCTTTTTTGTTATTATTCGTGTTGTATATTTACCTATTATGAACTAAAGACGAAATATATTATAATACAATTAAAATATTTACAACATTTACACTATTTACATACAAGCATCAAATAATTCTACCGCATTATCGCCTACTGGTAGCTTTCCCAGAAGACTGGCAGCATTGCCACGTTGAATGGCAATGCTAATTCTTTGTGCTAGAAAAACGCCGGGCTTCTGCTCATGAGAAGTGTCGATAAGTTGCTTAACTAGTTGTTTATACATAGCACGAGCACTTGGACCCCATGACGTCTCGACCCCAATCGGTTCAAAAATGTAATTTCCTACTAAATGTATTTACGCCATTTGAGGGTTTCTGAGGATGCAGCAGCAGCGCCAGCATAACCAACTGTGCTTGAAAGTAGTGATGGCACAAGGGTCTGGACGCAAGTTGCGTCCCACACCAAAGCCTTATCCATGACAACAATGACGTCCCGGTCCGTCCGGTCTCTTCCCATCGTCTCGTAGCAGACCATTGGATTCACGTACAGCTGGAACGCTGGTGGTAACAAGAGTACGACGGATAATGTCGTTAATATTGCCATCTCGAGATATACGGCCAGCGCTTCTGCTGTAAGAAAGGCCATGATGTCCAAGATTGTCAACAGCTACTCCTAACTCCTAACCTTACCGAAGACAAGTAGCAAGGCGAAATGTGGTATCGTCCAACAAGGTAAGGGCCATATTGGGCGATGAAAGTGCCTGTATCCATAAGCCTGATTCCCATTCTCCCACAGCCAACAAACGAGCGATGTATTAATTAATGTTTTTTGTTTTAAAATACATAGTGCGCGTCCCATTGTCTCTGAGAGAATGGATCAACAGGTAATATTGTATTGGGGCAAGCTATCAGCCAAACATGTATGGCGTCGGCCTTGCAAGACACTTCAGAATCAACCAGTGTGTTTACTAGATTTTTTCTGGTTAACTCTTCTGTGCCATGGACAGAAATGCACACAGAAATGCTGAAAGGCTGACATCTAAAATTTTGCGTACTCCAAGACCAATTAAAGATGCTTGGAGCCAGGCTCGATCGTTTAAAGCCACATTCAAAACTTTATTGACAGTGTTTTGAATATTTTTGTCAACGTTTTTAAAAAGTGATGAATACCTTCAAAAACACATGCACTTCGGTCACCCCCGAAATGCATGTGCAAATTTAGGTAAAAAAAGACAAAAACGGAGTATAGTAAAAGCCGAATGGAGATTCATTTTAAGTAAACAATCCGAAAAATCACCAAGTTTTTTAAAGGAACTTCTTAATAAATTCAGTTCATTTATTTACTGTTAATCTACATAGGATGGCCACATGGCTAAAATATCTATATTTTTGCAAGTTATCCAAATACAAACACGATAATAAATAAAGTATAATTAGAAATAATATAATTAAGTAAAGCGCAACGTTACTATAAATGAATATTTTACCAAAAAGTTGTGATTGTTTTAGTAATTTTGTGACATAAATCGTACGCTCTACGTATCGTATGTACTCGTAAGTGTAGCCTGAGAGTAGCTTAAGGCCCAATAAAGATGACCTACAAATTTTTAAAGGTTTTTGCATGCAGGTTGAAGTTTATAAGTGATTCATGACACCGGAGCGCTTACTATCCCTCGTAAAATCCCGGGACTCGGTTTGTATTGTTCATAAAACATATTACAGTTAGGTCTTGACAACAAGATACTCTATGACTGACTGTATGAACTGAATGCTGTACATCGGGCAAGAAGATTGACAAATTAAATTTCAGCAATCTCTTTCAGAACTTCACCACAATCCTATTAAAATGGAGAATATTTATTAGTACAACTACCTATGCATACATACATATAGGCTTCGAAATTTGCAAACGGTATCTTGACCCGAATTGATTAATACACCAGTCCCTTATCGACCGCGCTGACTAGTCAAACGAGAGAAATTGAATTACTTCATTTGGAAAATCATTTAGAACAAGTGATCCAGTGGCACAGAATGCTTACTATCCTAAATAATCTGTCAACATAGATGTAGTTACTCTATTGTTTTGAGTATGGTGAAGGATTTTCGTAAAGGAGCACCCCTTTTCTAGTAAGTACCAGAAAGTTATTTAGTTAATTTCGGGATCGCTCAAATTTATTTTAAAGGACAAATAGTCAACCGCACGTCTACTAAGCTATCATGCTCGCCTAAAAGCCCTTGTTATCCAGTTCTCAATTTTAACTAGGATTATGGCGGATGCGCACGTCATGCTCGTGATCTTGTGTCGTTGGCTGGGGCTACCTTTAGCTTACTATTATTGAAAGTATTGACTAAAATAGTTATTGCCCGGTCTGGTTACATAAATGAATATAACGTTACATTGGCCATTTAAATAGTTCTCAACTACAAGCAATGTCACCATAAAATTGTTAAAAAAAAAACGTGTTAAAAATTATCGCCCCTGGAGTTTTCTACTAGTTCTTGTCTACGTATTACTCGTAGAACGGCCAACAAACTGACTGATGAGTATTTTAACCGACTGTTACATTTGAAAATTAAAAATATACTTTATGGTAGGTTTAGTTGAAATAGTTAATTTTGATATAGGTATGTAAACTTTTTACATTTTTAGATATTTCAGTGCTTGTAACTCGTCTGAGCCCTCCAACATATCACAAGGATTTTGTTTACAATATGCTTGGCAACAGGTCAATAGTTTTTTAGATCGTTACTCATTTAACAGATTTATAATTTAACTGTTTACCTATATAGATAAACAGTATATATATAGTATATATATACTAGCTGAAGTTTCAATGTTAGGAAAATTTTGATAAAAGCGGATCGATTTAAAATTGCTGCCATGTTATCACAAGATCGCGGATCGAGATAAATGAAAATGGGAATTGCTTCGTAATAAAAACTTTACCGTAGTGTCCAGATTTCTTTCCTTTCTGCAACAAACATTCGCGAAATCACACTATGTCATATTGTATTGTATATTTCTAGTTATTAAAACGAAAATTAGGCTTCCATATTTGCGTCACCTAAAGCTAGAAAGATGCATGTTTAGTTTAAATTGAAATGGCGTCTCAGGGGGTAGCCCTAAGCTATAAAAAAGCAGCTGTCAAATAAAAGCCCATAGCTTAAGCAACTCCTTCAACTTTTAACTTCTACTCTAACTTAATATTGGTATATTTAACTCTAAAGCGTGAACAATGTAATCAATAAATCATACTAAAAATAAGGTATCCGACAATCTGAGAACCTCAATTTTCAATTCCTTAAAAAAACTATGAAACTAACTTCTTTGTTCTATACGACAAATGAAAATATTGCCGTTTTTCTTTTGGTCAATCCCTATTTCAAACACGGTCATTTTAATGTATTTAATATTTTTAACAGAAATCATTTTTTAAATATTGTAATGAGTCAACAATTAAAGTTTATTGCATATTTAAAATGCAATGTAACACAATTTTGTAAATATACTCTACGATAATAAACACTGAAAGTATTAAAATATAGAAGTATTATTATTGAACCATCACATATTATATTACACTACAATTGAACACAGAATACAGACGCTATAATTATCTTATTATATTCGGCTGATAAAAATATAGCAAGATGACATAGAAAACACTAAAATTACAACAAGAAACTATTAGGACAGAAGACTATTGGAAAGTTAATTTATTGAAACCGGTTTATTCCATATTTTTCTCACAACTAGCTTTTTTTTTGTTTCCAACACTTTGTTTTACGTGAATAAAACTTTACTTCAATAACCCTCATCATAATCATCTTATCAGCCTAAATACGTCCTCTGATGGACATAGACCTCCGTTCGCCACAATAACCGGTCCTGTGCTGCCCGCATCCAATGTCATCCAAATCCATCATAAAATGTACTGAGTATCACAGGTATACTATGTTGTTTGAGCAATAACGTTTGAATTTAAGAGCCTAAATGAATATTGGGTTTAAGTTAGGACAGTGGGATGTTTCTAAAACAAAGTTTTTTTGATTACTTATCCACTTAATGTCTTTGAATGTTACAGTCCCTCAGACGCTTTTCTAACTTTTCTATTCTATCCATGTGTGTAGACCGAATTATGTTTGCTTGCAAAATAAGCCACCATTGCTGCGATTACTTCCCCGTCTGATTCAACATTCTTGCCCTTGAGCATTTTTAACCCCCGACACAAAAAGATAGATGTTATAAGATGAACATGTCTCTGAGTCTCTCTGTCGTAACTCTTAAATCAATGCACTGATTATAATGTTTTTTTTAATTGAAATCTGGCGTGAACAAGATGGTCCTTAGCTATAATTTGTAAAGATCTCACTAACTTACACAACTCCGATTCATTTGAAAGTTGTTCTGTTACTTTAGTGGTATTTCCATGATATGGTAACCTTACCCTGATGCTGCAGTCAAACTTTGTGTTGATGCTGATGTCGGTAGTGGTCCAAATTTTTTATTTGTGTTAGCCTTAGCTCTGCAAGCAACTAGTAATCACTGGGAGCCAGATATTAAAAATAAGATGGGCGGCAAAAAAATTGAATCCCAATTCGCTTAATTTAGTCATCATTATCATGGACTTAGGACACCTCGCATTATCCTGCTGAAAGATCGTTTTTGAAAAGAGATTTTTTGATTTAAGATTACTTCGAAAGAATATTCTAATGTGTAGATAACATGTTATAAGCTACTGCTCGCGTTCTCGGACAGTACCTTTTTTCATTAAAAAATAATGTTTTATCAAC